TAAAAAGTAAAAATGGCACAATTGGCAGGAGGACATGTGTAAGGAGTTATGAGTGTGAGAGGTTGAGAGTTCGAATCTCACCTTTGTCACTTTTTTTGTTTTTTATTATTTTTACTCTAAATTTTTCTATCTTTCATTAAAAAAATAACAAAAATAGTTTTTTATTATTATTTAATTATTATTTTCGTATTTTAATTAAATCATTTTTTAAAATATTATTTTTTTCACTTTTTTCTAAATTATTCATAAAAATATCCAAAAAATCATAAAATAAAAAATATTGAAAAAAATTTTGTTCTTTTTATAATATTTTTTATTTTAGGAATCAATAGGATTATTAGTTTTTATTTTAAGTTTATTTTAATTATTTTAAATTATTTAAATTTTATTTTTTCTTAACTAATTATTTAGTTTGGGCTTTAAAATGGGCTTTAGGGACATTATTGACAATTTGGTGTTAACCCTAATTTGTTCCCTATATATACATGTGTTGCCTTGTTGGAAAAAAGGGGGAGAGAATGAAAAAAACCTAAGAGGAGTGAGTGCCGTTTGCCGTTATTTAGTTTTCTTCTTCATCCATTACTATTGTTTCTTTTTCTTCATCGTTTACCGTTATTTCTTTTCCTTCATCTATTACTGTTGTTTCTTTTTCTTCATCTTTTACCGTTATTTCTTTTTCTTCATCTATTACCGTTATTTCTTTTTCTTTATCTATTACTGTTACGTTTATATATATATAATTTTTAAATTGTTAGAGTTTATATATATAAGATTTTTGATCGAATTATGTCGATACGATGTTTGCACATTTGTGTGCATGACGCGTGACATTTGTGTTAGTTCGATCTGGTTGCGATGATCGCATTTTTGTGTGAGCAATAATACTATTTTTTGCTTAATTTCTTTTTCTTTGCGATAAATTTTGTTTCGTCCGATTTAGATCTGGTTGCGATGAGCGCATTTCTGCGTTAGCAACATTGTTGGGTTATTTGGCACATTTAAAATTCATTATTGCTTTATTATTATTATTATTATTATTATTATTATTATTATTATTATTATTATTATTATTATTATTATTATCATTATTTATTATTATTATCATTATTATCATTATTATTACCATTATTATTATTATTGTTATCATTAATTTATTAAAATTTGTTATAATATAAAAATCTGTTTTTTTAAAATAAATAACATTAACATCTTTTCCAAATTAATATGAAAACCTATTATTTTTAAGAAAAACTTTTTTTTAGATAAATTTAAAATAATAACTAAAATCTTTTTTTAAAATAATAACTAGAACCGTTATTTATTTTATTTTATTATTGTTCAATTCAAATTTCATTATCATATTGTATCTGCTCCTCTCATGTAACCTCGCGAACTTAACAATCGCTCTTTAAATTCTGCCTTTAAATTTCTGCTTGCATGGTTTAAATTATGACATTATCTCTCTGTTTGCATGATTCAATTATCTCACGCGTTTACTATTATTTCTGTCACATTGCACACATCCGAAGGTTAGGTCTAACTGTTTGGCCGCCGCGCCAATAGTCCGTAAAACTTCACACATTCAATTTCAAATCCTCAAAACTACAAACTACAAACCCTAATTTTCACAAATGCCTCGCCGCAGGCAAAATTACAATTTTACCCTTAGCATTAGGTCAAAGAGCCGCCGCGCTCATTTTAGGGTTTCCCGCCGTGGAATCCCTAATTTAACCCTAATTACAACTTAACATTTCAACGTAGAGATTTGGAGTTTCTACACTCCACGTAAGCGTGTCCTTAAGATGCGTTTATTCCCCTTGAGACCTTGACCACAGTCAAGAAGTTTCTAACCTCCCTATCGAGGGGAACTACGATTACTCTGATTCCACTCCCGTAAGGATACGTAGGCACAAGATGCGATGTCTTGCCGAGTAAACTTAGAATTAACCCCCTTTATTATTTATTATTGCTTATTTATATTTTATTTAATTATTTTGCTTATTATTTTGTAATTGTTTCTTGGATGTAAAGTTGTTTAATTATTTAATTATTATTATGGTTAGTAATTAGGGAGTGTAACAACATGTATGTAATATTAAAATAAATTTAGATCACTTTTAAATAAAGATAATTAAAATAAACACGTCACACACGTAAGTCGATTTTAATCGCCGTCTCACTTCCTAAGGATATCCCTCAAGTTGCCTACGAATAATGGTTAAGTGGGGTGTATAAAGCAAGTCCCTCAAATAGAAAAAATCATCAAAGTCCCTTATGGTTGCCTTTACGAATCGAGTCCCTTTCGAAAAATGATGATGGTCCCTTATATGTGCTTATTACATCCCACAATGGCCTTCAAAGTCAAATTGTCCCTCACATATCCCTTAACATCCAAAGTAAGGACTACCTACTCCATTATAGTAGGGATAGTCTTACTAAAGGAAAGAATGAAGAATAAGAAAGACCTTTAAACATTAGGGTAGGTTACTCCTAGGTGCTTGCTCACTTCAAAACTGTTTCGCACTTAAACAAATTTCCAACAAAATTTTCAAACAAGTTTTTTTCACATCCATACACGGATTATTATTAAACTATTCTGAAATTTTTTGCTATTCACACACTACACTTTCAAAACAATTCAAAAGTGAGCTTAAGTACCTAAGAGCCCATGGATAACCATGGATGAAAAGGGTGCTAACACCTTCCCTTTTCATAACCTACCCCCCGGACCCAAAATATTCTCTAAGGTCTTTCCTGTTCTTTTATAACCTTTCCTTATGGATAAAATAAAAGTCGGTGGCGACTCTTGCTATCCGCAACATTGTTTAAAGTCAGTTCTCCCACCGTGTTACAGATACCATTAGAGCTCTAATAGCTCTTGCGGCACAAAAAGGATGGAGTATACATCAACTGGATGTCAAATCTGCCTTCCTCGATGGTGTACTTGAAGAAGAGATCTATGTGGAGCAGCCACAAGGATTCATATCTGAAGGCGAAGAAAGCAAAGTGTTAAGACTAAGAAAAGCACTATACGGTTTGAAGCAAGCTCCTCGAGCATGGTATAGCATAATCGATCAATATTTCATGGATCAAGGATTTAGGAGAAGCAAGAGTGAGCCCACACTATACATTAAGTCTCAAGGTCAGTACACTCTCTTACTCTCTCTATATGTAGATGACCTTATCTACACGGGAAACAATACTAAGATGATAACAGAGTTCAAAGAAGACATGATGAAGATCTTTGAGATGACCGACCTTGCTTTGATGAGTTACTTCCTCGGTATAGAGGTAACCAAAGAAATGAAGGGATATTCATCTCACAAAAGAAATACACAGAAGGCTTACTTAAGAAATTCAAGATGTACGATTGCAAACCTGTCGCTACCCCACTCATAACAAATGAGAAACTACAAAAGAATGATGGAGCATCAAAAGCTGATGCATCCAAATATCGAAGTTTAATTAGAATCCTCTTATATTTGATAGCTACGCGGCCAGACATAATGTATGCTACAAGTCTTCTATCAAGATTCATGCAAAGTCCAAGTCAAATACACTTTAGAGCAGGAAAAAGAATTTTGAGATATCTACAAGGAACAAAAGAGTTAGGTATATGGTACTCTACCGAAATTAACTCAGGATTACTTGGCTACACCGATAGTGATTGGGCAGGTTCGGTAGATGACATGAAGAGCACCTCTGGCTATGCTTTCTCACTCGGATCAGGAATTTTCTCTTGGGCGTCGAAGAAGCAAGCTACGGTTGCACAATCCATAGCAGAAGCAGAGTACGTGGCAGCTGCTGAAGCAACGAGTCAGGCTATATGGCTTCGTAGGATACTTGAAGACATGGGAGAAAAACAGGATCAGCCAACTAAAATCAATTGCGATAACAAATCAGCAATTGCAATGGCAAAGAATCCAGTGCATCACAGTAGAACAAAACATATAGCAATCAAGTATCACTTTATAAGAGAAGCTAAAGCAACTAAAGAGATCAAACTCGACTACTGCAAAACAGAAAATCAAATTGCAGACATATTCACGAAGGCGTTGCCGAGACCAAGATTTGAAGAGCTACGAGCTATGTTTGGAGTCAAAGAAATTTGTATCAAGGAGGAGTGTTAAATTTGCTACAAATTTCTAGAGAGTTCTTAAATATAATATGTAAGAAAATATAGAACATCCTAGAAACTATAAGGTGTATGAATATGGTAGAATAATCTAGATATATAAGTATATGGCAAATATAGAAAAATCTAGATTTATCATGATAATAACCTATCATGAGAACTCTAGAATATTCACCACCATTGAAAGGTTGGTGACTTGAGCCTATAAATAGGCATTTGCTACATTGTAAACAATCATCCAAGAAATTAATCACAAAACCTTCTTTCTAAACTACTCTCTAAAACTATCTTCTACCAACTATCATCTAAACAATTCCAAACAGGTACAAATGATTGGGTTGAAGCAACAAGCTTCTCCAATACAGTTTTTCAACTTCGAAAGTAGCATAAGTAGCCAACATAATATCATATGTTCGCATTTCATCGGCATATTGAGTTCTTCTATCACCATAGTATATGTAAACCTTCACTGCACCATATTTAGTATGCTCTTCCAATGGAGTAATCCAAATTGAAATAACAGAAGGAGGACACATAATCAATGTAGCATTTGTCTCGAAGACACCCCTACCTCTTTTCTTTCCACCTTTCATTTTCATTTTAACAGAAGCAATCAATGAAAGCAGTGTTAAACACTTCCTTATTCCCATACCTTTTCCCCCTAGTGGCTCTTGTCGTGTGTCAATTTGGTAATTAATCAACACATGAACGAAACTGCCCTGCTTCTCGTTGGTCACTTGCTTCGCCAACGCTTTGGGTGTTGCTAGAAGCATGTCATCGTGTACTCGAATCGCACCCGACATTACTAAACCCAAACCAAAGCCTTACACTGATGCTATGAAAAATGTTCTTGAGTTAGTATTCCCTACACGGTCACAATGCCCAAAGGTGCTTTTTCTAGCATACAACGAAGCCATGATTTGAACAGCCACACAAAAGAATTTGTGTCTTCACCTGATAGCAATCCACAACCAAGTAATGTTGATTGACCATGGTGATTCACACCCACGAATGCAGAAAAATGCATGTCATACTTGTTAGTCAAGTCTGTTGTGTCAAAAGTTACAACGTCTCCAAAGTATTCGTACGCGGATCTGCTTTTTGCAACCGCCCAAAATACATTCCTCACATGAAAATCATCATCCAAATCTATGTCATAAAAGAAATTTGTATTTTATTCCCGTATTTTACAAAAATAACTTATCAAAGTCTTACCATCACCTTCTTTTCCAATCGCACGACGCTCTTTGTTAATATAATTCCTCACATCTTTTTCACAAAAGGGAATATTTTCATGTCCTCTTGCATCTTTAACAAGTGATTGAAAAGTCTTGTTGATCCTTACTCCCACATCATCATTGATTTGAATTGTTCTTCTTACATGTAAGTTCATTTTCTTGTTAGCCCTGAACAATCTTACTTTAATAGGACTAGTCTCATGAGAATGGTTTGTCTCAAATTGTGTAGTGTACCACAAATCATCTTGTTTTAATTTAATACAAATCTTGACAGGACAATTTTTCGCTCTAGATGGAAGTGTCTTCAACGTGCATGAAATTTTTGAAATGTTAGACCCCTCTCTTGAACATGAAAGTATCAGGTAATTGAACTCCCCGTCGTCTCCTTTTTTCGATGATCTAATCCTCCATCCAAACCCCTTTTTCAAAGCATACTCTTGATAATATGTTTTAACTTCCTCTAGACATGAAAAGCACATCCCAATTGCAGGAACCCAAAGTGATTCATCACCATCACCGTGATCAACTTCTACATCTTCCCTTTAATTATTATCACATTCTATCAAAATGCTTGAACTGTCCATTATGACTTAAAAACTGCACATAAATGTCAATATTATGTATAGTATACATTTATAACAATGTTGGTTAATATAGTTCAAAATTATGGTTAATATTGTTTATAACTTGGTTAATAAACGCCTAGACATGTGGGCGGGTTTATAACATTGTTTATTATGAAGTTGGTTAATGGTATGACAAAAGTTGGTTAATACATTTCCCAAATTGGTTAACAAACCAGCATGAGTAAATATATGCAATTGTTTAGCCGTAGGTAAACATGGTTAATGGTGTGAGTAAAGTAGAGCAATACTCTTTAGAACATGGTTAATGAATAATCGTGAATAAATATGAAATCAATAATAGAAAAGAAAACTAGGTTAACATTGTGTTAAATCTAAAAACATATGAACAATCATGAATCTAGAAACTTACTGAGTTAAATCTTCATCTTCATAACATAATGATGCTAAATAAAGAAAAGTTGGAGATGAAATGAAAAGAAAAGTTGCAGATGAAATAAAAAGACAAGTTGGAGAATAGCTGCTAAAGAATGGCGCGGATGATCAAGAAGAAGAAGAAGAAGAAGAAGAATGAGTTAGCATACTTTATGTTATAAAGTACAGCATATGTGGTTGAGGTTAAGAGAGAGAAACAATAAATTTCTTCATTCGACTATGGCCTACAGAAGAAAATGATGTTTCAACTAGGGATAGCAACGGGGCGGGTTTAACTATACCCGCCCCCGCACCCGCCCCCAAACTTAACCGGAGGTAAAAATTTACCATCCAAACCCGCCCCCAGTAGAGAACGGGTGCACCCGCCACGCCCCCACCCGCAAATTTTTTTTAATTACAATAAAAATTAATAATTTAATTAAAGAATTAATTATTTTAATAAACTAAATTAATTATTTAATTAAAATTTTAATTAGTAAATAAATGTTAATTTGATTATTTTAATTGCAATAAGGATATTAATAATTTAATTAAAAATATAATTAATAAATGAATATTAAAATAAATAAAATAAGAAAATTAAAGTAAATGCATTATTCGATGGCGGAGGCAGGTGCGGGCGGATCATAAGGTCTTCTCGCACCCGCACACGCTTTCACCCGCACCCGCACTCAATTAAATCAGATTTTTTCTGTTAATTTCGGAGCAGGTCCGAATTTGTTTGTCATCCCTAGTTTCAACATTAAGTGACAAGCTTGTACACTTAGTCATTTTTTTAATATATTTGCACTATTCATATAGTGTGTAGGTGTACACTAAAAATAACAAAACTGATGGATCATTTATGGATAACTTTTGTAATGATTTAATTTTAAGTTTTTTTTTTTTTGGAATAGTCCTTTAAACTCTAAATATTTGCAACGTTAACCAAAAACTTGATTTTGTTACAAAAATGATGTGCAAATATACACTCTCATGTGACACTTAACTCAATGCCAACGCAATGTTTAATGTCCATGTGTATGCTGACACATCATATTTATCTTCATCTTCAAATCCAAAATTTTCCGACAAATTTGAAAACCTAAAAAAGTATTCCCTTGATAGAACAGAATCATGGAAGCCATGGATTCAAACTATAGTCATGCTTCAAAATAACAGAAATAGTTTGGGTCATATAATTCAAGGTTTCAGATTTAAGGAATTGTGAAACTTATTTGTTGGTATGAATGTAAAGAAAATGAGGCCAAATAGAAAGAGAATATTAAAAAGAGAGAATGTCAATTTAGGCAAATGATATTGAAACCAGATACAATTTCTTAAAATTGTGTGAAGACAATATTTAAGAAAAGACCAGACACTTACTTCCGCAAATGTTTGAAAATGATGTTGTTGCTTGCAATCCAGATTGTGTGTGCAATCCAGATTGTGTGTGGTATGAATGCTAGCTGAATACAAGCATGGACGAGTTCTTGATTGCAAGTTTGAAACTTACAGAAATAATCAATTCAATCCGATTTCTTTGGTATTGGTTTTGAATAATTTTAAGCTGATTCAACACCCATTTCTAAGATTAGACTATTTTTCAAGTGTACCATATCAGACACCTAATCAATGAAATCAGATCCCCTGCAGTTAAACATGACATTGTTCTAGGAACAAAACAAAAGCTAATAAATGATAATAATACCAATCATGGTTCAATACAAAATTTTATTATTTGCAACAAAGGACAAACAAAATTCGAATACATATAACCTCATTTATACCTAGTCTCAGGCGTGAAACCTTAGTTTTAAATATTTCTTAACTATTTTGCATGATGCACAACAGTAAAAGGATCTATTGCACAAAAATATGACAACCATAAATCAAACCATGAAACTAGCAAAAAAAATAAGGATCATGCAACTGCAGCAATCGAGTCTTGACGGCTAGATTTGTTTTTTCGGCCCCAAACAGGAGTGGTCTCGATAAGCTGGTGGGGCACAAGTCGACTCTCCCTCTTAGTGAGCTTCTTAAAGTTGTGGACTTTCAGCCTAGCAATATCTGCCTCTTCTTCAGGGGTTATCTCTCTAACTACAACAGTTAGCCTGGATTCTGGTCTGTGCATGACTCCAGATCTTCCTTTGCCATGGTAGGAAATTCTTCTCTTAAAATCTCCCTTTCCAACAAATGCTTCGGCTGTAAGAAACATGAATGCCGCATCATCAATAAAGAGAAAAGCAAAGTGACAAATAAGCTTCACCACTAACAGTCTATAGCAAATAAAATTACCAACAATGAGGCGTTCTGGATCCAACCCGTGATTGTGAGAAGCATTTGCTCGGGCTGAATGAATAACCTGCAATTTGTATTAAACTTGTTTTCAATTTTTCTTTTCTTATAAAGAGAAATAGAAGAACCTTCTTCAATTGAAACTGAAAAGACCTCAGAATGAAATCTTACTATAAAATGCATATATTTGAATCCTTCAAACTAAGTGTCATAACATAGTCCCAACTCAAAATCAAAAAGGAAAAGTGTGGAGAGTGGAAAAAGGATGAATAAATCTGATGCATGTCCAACAGAAACTTAAAAACCAATTTTTAATACAGTCAAATTAAGTTACAGAACAACAATTAATGTTTACTACCTGATATACAGTTTTTGAAGCCCGCTTTACTGTCACTTGCAACTGCAGCAATGCATCTTTAACAAGCATACCACGTACCAAAGCAGCAACCAAGTTCAGCTTCTTTGGACTCTAAAATACAGTTTTAAAAATGAAGATAAATTAAACCCACGAAACATAAACCATAAATTACAACAGTTTCCAGAGCCGTTGAGAACTATAGGGGAGGCATTTCAATAACAAGAAAATTAGATGTCATATCGTCTGCAAAAAATTGTTGCAAACTGAACTGATTAACAGTTTCTTAACAAGTAGATGTAATTTTGACGCGTTCAAATGAGAAGGGCTGATGTAAAGCTTAGAGCAAAGAAGGCAGAGGGAATTGCCAGTGAGGGATGAGATAGGCGTCGACAGTGGGGGGTGGGACGCAGAGCATGGAGGGTAGCAGTAGAAGAGGGAATTGGGAATGAGAGAAAATAGAGGGAATAATGTGTGTGGAGTTGAGCATTGTGAAGAGAGATAGAGAGGGGTTATATCAATTCTTATTTGTTTCTTCTATCTATCTCATCTCCATTTTCATATGCACCGCTATGATGGTGTCAGGTTGAACTGGTTGGAGACAGATTTGAAGAAAAGGATAAGTTTGCAATTTCCACAAAGTATGGATTTAACCTCTCTAACAAGCCACGTCATAAGTGACAAACCTATTAAACATATATTATATTTAATGGCACCAGGTTTTGGTCCACAGATTCACCATACTTGAAATGATGTTAAGTACTGAAATAAAACAATTGCATTTTTACAACATTCACATCATTACAAAGATAAATATATTACTGGTGAAGCTTATGTGTCAACTTTAACAAGCATACTAGAGAAGTGATTAGCACCTTATGTTTTAACAGATACCTAACCAATGATAACACGAAAACACATGACACTTTAAAACCTAGTGTAATGTTGAATACAAAATTACAAACATTTGCTTCTAAATCATGCAATATAAGAAACCTAATGCTCAACAATAAACAATATCGATTTTAAGTTGTTGCATCCAAATTGGCCATAAAATAGTCTATCCTGAACAGAACAAAAATTGAAACATTTCAGAAATTCATAGAAGATTGAATTACAAGCAATTACACCTGAATGGAATACAATCACTAAACAGTGAAGTAAAGTAATTCAAATTAAAGTATATTTGATGATGTAAGGATGAATGCAAAAGATTCAACAGTGAAAATGTAGATTTGAGAAGTGTTAGCCTCTTTACTATTTCAAAGGATTAAAGTAGAAAGAGTTGGAAGGGTTGTTGGTGGAATTGTACCAGATACTGAGGCTGAAAAGTGTGAAATTAGTAGGAAGTTTGTGCAGACCAACCTGCACACATGGCAGGGAAGGCCTAGGTTGCCAGGAATAAGCTAGTACTATAAAGAAATGAGGCTAGGAAAGAGCTGAGACATGCAGAAGGGTCTGCGCTGCAGTGCAGATCCTTGAAGTTCTGCTTATCAGTCAAGCTTTCATTTTCAGGTTGTTCATTTGGATACTATATACTGTTATACTTTCATCATCAAGTTACTTATTATAACAGTGACAGGACTCTGCTTATTAATATGAAGTATGTTTATCTACACTCTGATTTCCAGTTTCTATTAGAATATTTATTATTAAAATTAAAAAATAAAACTGTTTAAGTGAAATAGGCTGAGTAAATTCAGCACACAGGCTCAAAGGAATGAATAAAGCAGAAACTATTTCTCAATCAAAAAACATTAAATGATGATAATATCCTTACTTCTTTCATATTAATTCTGTGAAAGGCTATTGTCTTTCTTTAATGCACATTTTAGCGCTTCAAGTTAAAATCTTTTCATACAAAGTACATTGCATTTTAAGTTTCCAGGACTAAAAGTTTAAATACTGATTTATTAAGATCTATCTAATAAGCCCATAGTGCAAAAGTGAAAGTAAAACACTTGTATCAACATCATCCATATAAGAAAAACCAAAAGCAGTCCATCAAGAGCATAAACAGATAAGGCATCTCAAACCTGCTTTATTTTCTTTAGTACTGCTTGAACCTTATCTGCCTTAGTAATAGCTTTCTGATTCTGTTCTTCACCTTTTGAACTACCTAATGAAGAAACTGGCACTAAAGGCGATGAAACAGGTGCGTCCTCAGATGAATTTTTGAGCAACTGGGTAGAACTTGAAATTCCCTGTAATTGAATTACACAAATAATGAAATACAAAACATGAAATTAAGAAGAGCATATCTTCGATAGCAAAATAAATCTTTACAGAGGTATAATAACTATAACACAGGCTCAGTGTGCCCCAAGAATTTGGTTAGTTGGAAGATAAATTTGAACAAACTTGTCTACCTAATTCTGAAAAAACAAGTATGATCATGACGTCCATTAAAACAGGTTAACACAGTTTAGAAAGCAGCAGAAACCATTATGATAGTCATTTGTTTATATGAAGAGATGATTAAGGATGTAGACTGGAGATATACACAAATTGGAGATTATGATATCCTCCGCAAAAAAAACAAAATGAAAGAAAAAAATACAAAGAATCAGAAAAACAGAACTAAAAGTAACAGTCTACAATGGAAATCAAATCTAAGCAAATCCAAAATGGCAACTTTTTTAGAAGTCAATGAGCCATGCACTTAAGAGAAACCAGCAACTTAAATCTTTCAGACACAATTCTACAAACATCAAAACAATTTGAAAAATCCATGCATCCATCTCCTAGACTCCAACCTGATACACAACAAATAAAGAACAGTTCCAAATAATCTTTGTTAAGAGTCTCACATCAGATAATATATGGCCTAAACATGTGTTTATAAGTGGGGGCAATCCTCACCCTACCAACCGGTTTTGTAGGGTTGAGTTAGGCCCAATCACATTTCTTAACATGATATCAGAGCCTTTGGTTTAAGATCCGGTGGGCCACTTACTATGGTTTCCGCTATCAGGGCCACCCACCATTTATTTCCACGCTCTAGTTGTCTAGTCCTGAGCGTGAGGGGGTGTGTTAAGAGTCTCAAATTGTATAATATACGGTCTGAACATGTGTTTATAAGTGGAGGCAATCCTCACCCTATCAACCAGTTTTGTAGGGTTGAGTTAGGCTCAACCACATTTCTTAACAATCTTAACCTATTTTTCTTGTTCAAACCAGACCCTTTGATCCCCTATGTCAGTAGAGAGTAAAGACAAACCCAATACTCTCCAGAGACATAAAACTACCTATTCTACAAAAATTAGCAGTAAGATACGTAATAAATGTATAACTGCTTCAGTGTTGATCATGCATATTACACAAACTTCTCTATGCTAGGAGAGAGTTTAAAACAAATTGCTTACTAAAGAAACCACTACAAGGAGTAAACTTCTCCAACCTGTATGCATGAAAGTTCAACATTTTCTAGGAGGTTGTAAGTCTTAGTTTTCTCATGCCACACTTACAGAGTAACTAACAGAGAAAGACTACTCTTGTCTTGATATTGGAAAGTATTACTACTAAATTGTTTGTGAAAACCACTGGCAAAGCATGAATTCATAATTTAATAATAAAAATTAAATAAAAAAGGAAAACTCACAAAGACACTTCCACTTTTTGTAATAATATCAATGAAAATCTCACCCAGTGTATTGGAGAAAACTTTAGACCACAGTTACTTTGAGAAAATGTATTCCATTTCCATTGTCAGTTTTCACTTTTAATAACAAAATACTATCACCTTGTTTTCAATTTGTATCATGTTTTCAAAGACTTACATAGAATACATCTTCTTAAAGTAAACAGGCCCTCGGTGAATAATTTGTAAACACGGGTTAAAATTGATTGGGAAACTATCACTATATAAAGTACAGAAGGAAACAAACACGGTAACATCAAATCAATTTTGGTATTGACCTCCCTCCCTCATAACTAAACCAAAGCCCCAAACTTCTGAACCAATCAGTGCTGCCAATTTTAGTTCAATTTTCACTAGGCTAGAATGTTACATCGCCGCTATTTGACAACACTTTGAACTGAATTGTGTATCGCAGAACAATGAGGATTTGTTCAAAGGCGCTATTTGACAACACTTGAACCAAACCAATACATCAATGATGACAGTGCAATTGAAACACAATTTTACCTGATATTGAAAACACTGATAAAACGGCCTTGCAATGCTTGGAATACTTATTGAAGATTGCCTCTGTAACTGACCTACAATACCAAGCAGAGGTTTTTCCTAATAAACTCTTATAAACTTGAGTAACTCCGGACTAGAAAACTAAAAAAGATATTAAAATGGGGACAGAAGCTCTTTTAACCTTGTGTAAGAGAAGAGCCAAAGCGATAAATTACAAGGTTTGTAGCCGAGTGATTGGCATGCTCCACTCCCTTATGAATGCGACGAAAAACTGGGAAAAGATGCCTCTGCCACTGCACCATATTTGTATTCTTTCTTCTGTAAAAGAGAATAGGAATATTTTACTCGTTCAACTAACCCTAAGAAATTTTAGATATGCTCAAGATCAGAGAGGTTTTAGTGAGTGATGCAACGGGCATTGTCACTTCCCTTACACAGAACTAAATGGGTGAGTTCAATGAAGCATTTCATCAAACAAGTTGTGTGTGTGGAGTTACGTAAAATCGAATTAGGGAAAAAGAAAAAAGAGAGATGTAAAAATGATGAATCTAACCCCGCGTTGGTTTGGAGGTGTTTACGTAATCACTGATTGGAGGAACTCTCTTTACGAAGCCTCTTCCACAGCTATTCAGAGTTACTCTCTCAGTCGAGTTGAGAAACCTTTTGCACCTTCGTTCCCAAGTTCATTTCTTTTCACCCATTTTGTAATTTTTTCGGTTTTATAATAACATTAAAAAAATTGCATAAAATTAAAACTAACCCTACCTCCATTTATTTTATAATAACATTAAAAAAAAATTGCATAAATTTTATTCTAATTAATTTTATCTTTGTCTTTAAATATAACACTCTTGATTTTATTTTATTTTTCAAATTTAAGTTATAACACTCTTTTAAATATAACATTTTAATGGTTGTTGTTTGTTACTCTCAACTCTCATTTAAAATCACTCTCATCTAATATGTATATTTTGAAAACCCACGCTTTCCTTATCTCTTAATTCTCAAACAAAGCTTAAAAATTTGGGGAAAAAAATTAGAGCCACCACATCCATTACACTCATTTGGATTCTATAAATAGACTCTACTTAATTTTTTTATATTATTACACACTTTTAAATCATTTAAAGGGTTAATACTCATTTTCCTCTGCCATATGGACCAAATCCGGAAGAAAAAAAAACTCTATAAAAAAAACATAGATTTCCATTGTATTTTAAAAATTCCCTTTTTTACCCCCTCATTGCATTTGGTCAACAATGTGGCTGAAGTGGCATGTTCAGAGTGGTTTTTTTTTCAATTTAACTTTAATTTTATATGGCATTTTCTAATAACAAAGTAATATATTAATTTATTTAATAAAAATATGAAATTAAAAATAGAGTGAGCTTCGTGTAGTTGCAGTCAGGGTTAAAAACATTCTTCATCTTATACCTAAATACAAAGTTGTAGATATTTTGAGTTCATCTTCAAGATTCATCGTAATGGCTGGAAGCACGAGTGCGAGTTCAGGTGCGATGTCGTGTGGACGAAAAGCTCCGTTTTGTGGACATCGACTTTTAATGAAAATTCATGTTTCCAGATCTAGCGCAAACCCATGAAGAATATATTGGAAGTGCAAGTTCTAAGGGATTAGCTAACTGTATTCATAAAATATCTTCATCTCTTCCATTCCTATTTATTTGATATTTTTATCTTTTCTGACAATGAATAATATGTTGTTTTGCAAAAATGATGATGATTGTCAGTTCTTCTACTGGGATGATGAATTATTTTCTGGCAAACAAGTGGAATCAAGGTATGATGCAGGTTTCTATGAATATCAAAAAATTAAAGTGGATATGAGGAACTACGGACCAGAGTTTGGGAAAGAGTTTCGTCATGAGTTCAGGAAGGTCATTAGCAAAAACAAAATAAAGAGACTCAAGATGAAGGCTGCAGATGATCAGATGAAAATTAATTCATTGATTTTTCTTCTAGTTGCATCTTGAACTTTGTTTGTTATAATGTACAAGTACTTGTAATGAAAGAAGTGATTTTAGAGTATTTATGTATCATTATGTACAAGTACTTGTAATGAAATAAGTGATTTTAGATTGTGTACCACAACAGATTTTGCAACATTTTGATTATGAATTAAATGAATTGGTACCTTTGCATTAAACATACAATTGTTTGCAATTTAAATGCACCTAAAACAAATTTGCAACATAACTTCTCATGTGATCACATATAAACCAAACTAAGCACATTTTGCATTACATATAAGTCAAAGATTCAAGATTACATAAATAAGCACATTATGTGTATGACTGTCAAGATTGCTTAATTAAGTACATTGTGTGCATTACAGTCAAGATTACCTAATTAAGTATACTAGGTGCATTACAGTCAAGATTAACAAAATAAGCACTTATATGCATTACAAAAAACAGGTTCCATTTCAGCAGTACAAACAAAGTTCCATTTCACTGTGACATTTGCCTTGATATTTCCTTCCATTTCTTCTTCTTTGATGCCAACTTTGTTTTTTTCAGACTTGGTGGTAGCGGTTTCATCATTTGTAACTGGTGTTGGATCCACAATATGAGATTCTTGAGTTAGTTGAGATGCCTGGTATTTAGCTTCTATTGAGGCCATCATGTCTTCTATTGATGCAACAATAGAATCATCATACCAGTCAACTCTAGCAGTTACACCGTCAGCAACATCACTCGTAGCAATTACCCCTACACTTCACCCTTACCCTATAACTTTCATGCTTCACAAACTTAATCTCTCTACCATTCAAAACACACGACTATCTAATAGCATCCTTAAATTCAACAAGAGAATTAAACTTCATACCTAGGTTGAATTCATAGTGTTTGTTGAGCAACTCTCCTCTGAACTTTTCATATTTCGGCATTCTTTCATTGTCACTTTCATCTGGGTCTGAGCTACCTAATTCTTCACTTTCATAATCACCCTTTTGTTCTACAGACCTTTAACTTCCTGCCATTCTTGACCTTCCATCCATGCTTGACCTTCCATCCATGAGACTTTTAGGAAAACCCAACCTAAATTTTGAAGGAGACTTCACAGTGGATCCATCTTTCTTGCCTTTTAACTTGTGCATATAATTCTTCCCATTAATTGCAACTTTATTACCTTCGTCTAGAAGACCAACCTCCACAACCACAAAGTCTTCATTGTTTTCATTAACTCTTTCTTCCTCACTATTTTCAAATGTCATCCCTCTAACTTCATCATCACTATTGGCATCACTATCTTCACTAACATCTACAAAATTAGGAATGAGCACTATATTCGAATTGTACCCAACATTGTGCTTTACCCATATATGTCCATCATTATTAGAAGTGGAATGTGTAGCAATTTTTGCAACATGAACATCATTAGTCACGTGGAAGAAACCTTCGTCAATCCCTTCAATCTTTCTCCACACTCTTACGCCACTACCATCGTAACTCAGTTCCTTTACTAAGACAAGAGCCTCAAAATATGACCATTCATTTTCATCTTGACCACTAATGATTGTTTCAACTCCTCCTCTGTAGAAGACGTAGCTATCACAAACAAATTATCCATCATGGTGAAATATTAACTCGAACATACATATAAGCAATGACAAAACTTTCGTACAGTATCAATGGAAGCTGGAAACTCTTGGTGAAGACAATAAAGAACAACATTTTTATTTTTAAGTTTCATGGTTTGTTAAACAATGTTGGTGATTAAATAATTCAGTAACTCAATGATTTATTTGTTTCAAAAATTAAAAAAATAAAATACTGATTTTTAAATAATATAAATCAAAATTAAAACAAAATAATGCCATCTAAAATTAAAATTAAATGAAAAACGAAAAAAAAAAAAAAAGTCACTTTGTACGTGACACCTCAGCCGCAGTGTGCAAATGCAATGAGAGAGTTAAAAAAAGAAAACTATAAAATACAAAAATAAAATCTGTGTTTCTTTTTACATAATTGTTTCTATTGTTTTTCGGATTCACCCCATATGAAAGAGAGAAAAATGAATATTAATTCTTATTTAAATAACTTATCTATATTTTTCAAATATCCATATAATTATTTAAAAACATTAAAATAGATTCCACTAAACATCATAATATACTACACATTTCACATATAAAAGAACTCTATCGCCAGCAATCATCCATGAAAAGAGATCGATATTGGTGCTTTTAGATCATAGTTATCAATAGTATTTCAACGTTCCTACATTTTTTTTTTTATATCACCTTGTCCAAAAACAATAGGTAATTGGAAAGAAGAGTCGTAGTTTTTTTATTTTTTATGAGATATATTAATAGATTTAGTGGGACCCATTTTTAAGAGTTTTTTAAAAATTGTATGAATATTTAAAAAATATAGTGAAGTTTTTTAAATAATTGAGAAGAGTAAATAATATTTAAAAAAATTGGGTATGATCCATTTAAAAAATCCAAATGAATATGTTAGATGTGTATGCTCATAGAAGACAGAGCTTCTCTCTCTAGGCTTCTCGTTTCTTTAGCGTAATTTTTCAAACATCTCCTTAACAGAGGGAAGAAACACGAATAAATAAAGAAAAAATACACTGCTTGAAATACACAAGACTTCAGTTTTCTATTTCTACTTCCACAAATCATATATTTATAAATAAATATTCGGTCTCATAAAACAATCAAATTCAAAGGAATAAGCGACTTGTTTTCAAGTCGCAACATAAATGTGATTTTAAAAAACATGAGACTCTGAAACATGACAAAGATTATTCATGAGACTCTGAAACATTGACAAAGTTAAGATGTTTGCCGAATGTTCCAGACATTTTCATTTGCCGCTTCAACATACAATCATATATAGTATGAATAATCACGTTTAAGGGAAGAAGAAAAGTAAGTAAAAAACTCGCCGAGCAGCAGAACTTCCTTCATTAAAGAACTAATATAGTAAGACACTCGTTTCAGAAATCAGCAAACACACCAAAAATATCACCATTGACGTAGTCATTGTCCACCAAACTGACCAAGAAGTAGCTGCTTCCCACCTGCAACACGATTAGAAAGAATCAAATAGGTCCTATAGTATTTTTAACAAGGTTATGTCTAATAACAATTTTTAAGAAGTAGCTGCTTTAAAGGATTAGGTTGTTTAAAAACTAACCTCTTCAACTAATTTCCTGGATGCGTCGGCCTCAGGGTACAAGCTTGCCCATCCTCTATACCAACTTTCAAATGCCTCATCCTTCCATGAGTGGAAGCTCACAGGATCTACAACGGTTGGTTGGGATATTTCCTTAGCTGAGAAGACCCCCCATGTCACAGCATTCACATCGGTTTGGCCCACATTAGATTTCCAAACCCCCTTTTTGTTCACAGCCATATAAGTTAGGAATGGGCGATCCTTGCATTTCTCGATAAGTGCATCCAGTTTTTCCTCAGAGCAGAAGAACTCTAAGTATGCCTTCTGGTAAACATACCCACCAGGTGCACCCCAGCCTAGGCAATATGTAAAAACAAAAAAGTTAGTGTATCTCGTGTAACCAAATTCAGTAATATGGATGACATCAATACCCTCAAATTCAATCATAATTTCACTGGACATTATCACCAGGAAATTGTCGCAATTTCATATCTAAGTTGTATAAGAAAATTAGTCATATATGGTTAGCACAAACTAGAATGCGCTGATCCAGTTTCAGAAATAAATCATTCATGGATACAAAACAATATTTTTACCACCTACCTACAGTAGGAGAGTCTGACTTTTCCCCATTGACTGCTGGCTGGCTATTAATGGTAAGGAATCCCTTCGTGTTAATCTTCTCCAGGTGCTCATTTATGATCTTTGTCTCTGGCTGAAGACCATCAAGTTCTGACCAAGGATTGGTTCTCAACTTTCCCAGGCAAAACATTCTGAATCTCTGATATGTAGCAATAAACAAAAATTTAGTTGATCTTGCACAGTTGTTAAGATTGCTACATCGCAACATTCCATCTTCCAACTATAGTAATTCTACCTCATAAATATCTTCAACGCTTTTCAAGGGAACTGCCCATTCTTCAATAAGCTTCTTGTCCTTTGCACGTGGCCGCAAAAACTGCACATTATAAAGATATTAATATCAACACTGAAAAAAATAAAAGTGTGTCCCTAAGGCATAGCTCAACTGGAAAATGCCAATATTGTTAGGCTAGAGACGTTGTCCCGGGTTTGAACCCGGGACTTCGCAGTTGTATCTGTGGGTTCCTGGTTGTTATTGTCAAATAAAAATTAAGGTGTGACATCAACATATTAAAATCACTAAGTTGTCATCTGCACCTGATAGTCAGTTAATGCGCCATATGAAGGGTTACCGGAATCACCCCAACGCCCATGTGGGTATTGATCCCATCCTATGGTCCTGGATATGTAGCTTTTTGGACGATTTGCCCTACAATAGTTGGTTTAGAAAGTGAGAAGTGCTTTAAACCATGACAGACTCATATACACGGGAGCAAGACAATAGATACAACGGTAAAATACCAAAAGATTGGGCGAACATCTTCTTTAATACGGAAAACATTTGTAGGGCGTCTCCAAGGTAAGGATCTAGAAATTTTGGATTCTTCAATTAAGCCAAGGCCCTGCAAGCAATAAAACCAACATCAGCATTAGTAAAGTCTTGCCAAAATAATGTGAAAAAAATGTTAGATATAAAGTCATTTCATTCACATGCTTTCACACCCAAAACTCAAGCTTTTGGGATACAGCATTATATTAGAATCTCTATAACTAAGTGGGATAGAGTTTGATCCTTATTGCATCCATTCTTCTAATAAAAAATTGTCTTTCTCCACAAAGTAAGTGGACCTGTGCATTACCACACTCCAAGCCTGAAGGGCTCTTACGGGAAGGGGGCCTTTTAGATTTAAAATCAGTCATGTGTTCGTAAAACAGTTCAATCATTCAGGATAGTTGGTTAATGACAAATTGACAATATACATATCATAAGCTAGAATGTTGCATGAAATAGGAATAACCATTAGTATCGCCAATGCCGATTTCTCCATATTTAGCGTGTAAAGATGCACTGTCTTAATTCCATGAGCCATAATTTTTTTGCACATTTCAATTCCCAGGTGTATTCCATAAGCCTTGACAGCTTCTTCATTGTCCTTGATTGGCTCTAAAGCAGCCATTATCTCAGCAGGTATCTAGATTCATTAAAAATGAAACAATATATCACAACTCACATCTGTAAAAAGAAAACATATAACAAGCCTTTTTAAGAGTTAAGTGCTGTTTCATGCCTTCTTTGTGGAACCCAAGGTCTTTGAGATTATATAATATTTAGAAAATTTAATGCTTAAAGGTCTATAAAAAAGTGTGCTCACCTTTGTTTTACAAAAACCAGTCATGCGGATAAAGCCCTTGTAATTGTTAATGGGCATAATTCCAGGCACAATAGGACAGGTTATTCCAATTTGGCGACAATCGTTCACAAATTTGAGGAATATATCAGTGTCATAAAATAACTGGGTGACAATCAAATCGGCTCCAGCATCAACCTATAAAAGGATCATAAGCTCAGAATAGGATATCAAAAGTAAGACAGAGAGATGAATAAAAATTCCCTGCAATACCCCCGTGACTGCGGCTCACCCCAACCTCTTTAGTTTTGCATTTTCATTTTCTTTTTAAAAGGGAAGACAAAAGTAACTTTACATGCACCTTTTATGATTTATCTTTTTATTTTCCTACGTGTTTAAGCATGCTAGTCACAGATTTAAACAATTACCAAAAATTGCATTCTTGAACAGATAATAAATAAAACTTTTGAGTAAAAAGTATGGATTCTGATTTAGAGGCAAGACCTTGCTCTTCAAGTAAGCAAGATCATTTTGATAACCTTCTGGTGGAGCCAACCCATCATTTCCTATAACATCTGGATGTGCCTCTGAAGAGAAAGATAATAGATTATGATGGTGAGAAGAGAAGCAGAAAAACATAGTTGAAAGTGATAATAATGTTGAAAAAGTGATATCATAAGCAAGAAACCTGGATAACCAGCAACAGTAATGCCAAAGTAGTCACCGTATTTGGATTTGATATGTTTTACCTGCAAAATCAGCAACCACAAAATCAAGACTCAAGACCAGACATGTATGTCAAATTTTATGAAACCAAGCTTTATGTTTTTATCATCAATAAGAATGGAACATAATATTCCATAACTTATTGGAAACTGATGTCTATACATTTGAAAGTATGGTTTGTAAAAGGTGTACTTCTTTTCAGTTACAGATTTTGGTTATTTTTCTATGTGAAGAGCAGTAATAATTTGAAAATATCCCCGATGCATTAAGAATCTAGTACGAGAAAAATTAGCATCATCTTTTCAGAAGCCATCTGACAAGATGAATTAGGCTGTCATGTATCTGTTTATAACGGAAGAGCTTTCCATATTGAAGGGTTTAAGAGAAATAGCTCGAACAGAAATCAATTTACCACACTAAGGCAACTGTCCACAAAATAAATGGAGTCCAAGAATTTTAAACTTATTAAGAGGTGAAGAAATAAAGTGAAGTATGACTTAAGGCCTGACATCACATATTGATACCAGCCACCCATGGCAAAAATAAAAATGTTAAGATAGCAACAGATAAACAAATTATTCAAAAAACTGAAAACTGCAGGAGAAAGAATATGTTGGAACTAGGAACGATTATTAACAGAGCCTAAGGCACAATCAATTAAAAACTTCTAGACACATTATGTGCAAATTCAAGTGAGGGTTTCACAAACCTGATTTTGAATGAATTTATTTTGTTAAAAGACTAATATTTGGATGTTTTTTCATTCTGAAAACAAGTTTGATGTAAAACTTGCAACTTCTTCAACCAAACTAAAAGTTACTTTTATCAATTAGATCTAATCAAATCAAGGTCTGAAGGCAAAATCAATTTAGATATAAAGTATCCAAGCATACTAAAACCATGTTTCTAGATATAAAAAAAAAACATATCCCTTTTTATATCTCAATCATGTATCCAAGAGAAAACTACAACAATAACAAAAAAATATCAAAACAATGCTAGTACCATGTCAACATATTATGCTGAAATCACGATTAATCAGCATTAGTCCTATCAACAAGAATCGATCTAGAGTTTAAAAAAATCATACCAAATCACGGGCGCAAGCAAATCCACCTTCAGTCTGAACGAACTTCTCCTGCCCATGAGGCGGATCTCCACGAAGAGCAAGCACATTCTGAATCCCATTACTCTTAATAGTCTCAAGAGCATGATCAATCTTATCCACAGGCATATTAGTGCAAGTAAGATGCATCATAGTCTCAACACATATAATATTCTGCATCTTGTTGGCAATTTCCAACGTCAGATCAGCAGTCGTTCCTCCAGCCCCCCAAGTAATATCACAAAATGAAGGATTATGAGCCACCATTCTGTCCATTCTCTCAAACAAATTATCAACTCCATCTTCGGTTTTCGGCGGAAAAAACTCGAACGAGAAAACTACTCTGTTCGGATCAGATCCTTGAATTTTATCTATCACCTTCATTTTTATCGTGTATCTATAATCTATAAATCTATAAAATTCTCCTGAAGAAGCAACCGACAAAACAAAAATCAATAATCAGTAATTAATCAACAAATTAATAATTAGATCAGCTAGATCCAGCGATTAACTAGTCGTTTTCTTACAGATCTAAGCAGAACAACGGTTGAAAAAAAGGGTTAAGGAGAATGATGATTGAACAGTGATGAATGACGAAAAGGAAGAGAAAGAGGAGGTGTTGAAACGTACCGTATGGTTAGGTGAAGGAATGAAGAAGCAGGGAAGAGCGCGGAAAGTGAGGAAGTGTATTGTGGTTATTTATAGATGAAGAATGTAGATCTGTGTGACTGAGGGCAATGGTGGTTGGTGGCACTGGCTTACCGGCTACTTACCTCGTTAATCTGAGATATGGATTCAAATTTTGTGTCATAGTGTCGACAATATTCTCTTATTTAATTTCAGATAGCTGCTTAATTCTTCTTTTTTTACTTCTTTTGATTTTATTTTAATTTTTCTAAAATACTAGTAACTATGATTTCTTCCTTTTATATCAAAAAGATTTAAAACCCACAAAATTTACTTTAATTCCAGAGAAATAACATTTATTGGAGACATTATATAATATTTTAAGATATAGTCAGAGTACTTTTTTCTTTTGCACGTGTTTCTTATGGTTGAGGGTTGAGGACAATATTTCCCCACACAGGTCCGGCCGTAGGTTGACGACCGAGGCCACCGCGGGCTTCAAATTTTTTTTTTACTTTAATTCAATAATATTTTAAATTATTTTTTATAAAAATTAAAAAATAATATTTATTAATTAATTTAAAAATTATTTTTATAGATAACAAAATTTAATGATCTATTACATAACAAGACGTTTGATATTTACTATATTGCTTTTAAAAAAAATTGGCAATAACTTTTTAAATGATATTTTTTAAATATGATAAGAAGAGCAGTTCATTTTATAATCGATAAAAAATAAATATTAAAAGAAATCAATTCTTATAATTTAATTAAATAATTTTTCATCTAAAAAATTCATTAAAATTGAAATAAAAATATATTAATTTTATTAAAATATTTATATTATATTTAAAAAAATTAATTTTAAATTTTAACTAAGGCCTTAAAATGAGTTGGGTCGGTCCTGTCCTCACAAATTAATTTTTCTATCTCTATTTCTAGTTTAATTTATAACATATATAAAGAAAATACTTGATTTTTGGTGTAACTTTTTTTTATATTAAATTTACCTTTATTTTAAAATATATAACTTATACAATAACTTTTATTGAACTATTACTATCGTCTTTTATATAACTCTACTAATAACTTCTCACATAACTTCTATTTAAAATTAATATTAAATAAAAATATATCATTTATATTTATATGCGTGCAATAAAAAAGCAGACAGACGGGTACGCGAGTGCCGTCTGGACGCTAGTTAATTTTAATGATAATATATTATGTTAATTATAATAGATTATTGAAATGTTTTTCAAAATAATCTTATTTCTATATTAATTTTTAAAGTAGTTATTCATCTTTCAAACCAAAATATAATATGATACATTTGTGAATTTAATTGGCGACATAATTTACGATTTAATCGCTAATTCAATTCTGGCTTAGATGAAAACCTACATGATTCTCCTACTTTAAAAATTGTTTGTGAATTAAATTTAAATAGATAGGAAAATTGAGTGATGGGGTAATGACATTCCTGGAGGGAGTACATATCATTCAATCAATTTTAAACTAATTCATAACTTACATAATTAAATAAAATCAACCATTTTATACTTTACAATTTCTCAAAAGAAAATAAGTGATTTATTTAGAGAGAGATAAATACAACTAAGTTTTTTTTTTTTTTAAGAAAATAGATATTAATAATATTAAAATGTATTTGTCGATGGAACTTACTATCTCTTTCTTGAGCCTATTTTTACAAATTAATCGTTCAATTATTTTTAGAAAATAGTTAAAATCTAAATAAAATTGTAAATTTTTAGTGTTTTCTATTAAAAAAACAATCTATTTAGGTTTATTTCCCAAGTCTTTTAATATAAAAAATAGATTTATTCTCATAGTAATGAAATATAAATTTTCAATATTAAATGTGTTGTTTAGATTCTCATTAGTTTGCTCTTCTGTCTAGACTCTCTTACTCTCGACGAAATTAGAATAAAGAAAGACCTTAACACTTTTTATGATAGTTTTGGTTATGAGAATGAGTTTGGTCCTTCCAAGATAAAGTCATATTTGCAGAGAAAACTATCCATCGAAACCCATTCTATTGTGGGAGTGGCCAATAGTCTCGAGAGGTAAGAGATTTTTGGTGAGGATAGGGAGTCGTCCCCCTTCCTTTTTTCTTTCGTTTAATATTTTGATAATTGCATATAAAATGAATTCCTTAAAGAACATTTTTGACATTGTTAAAGATTGGGAGGCTAAATCTGCCACCATCACTTATTTATCTCGAGTCCCCACTCCTTTTTCAATTGGTCCTGGCATATCTACTACTACTGAAATTCCCCTGGCCTCCTCTGGTCTGGACCAGACTTCTATCGGGGTTTTTACTGAGTTGTTGAAGATCAATATCTATCCTCTTCTACCAATAACAAAAGAGACCGAGATTGGGATCAAAGTCATCCCCTGAATGGAGATTTGGTCAAGCGAACTTGGCTGCCCAAGGGTGCTTCTTCAGGGTGACCTACCCCTTTGCTCAAGTTGTTATCCATTTTGCCATCACAGATTCTCCACACTTATTAAGAGGCATCATTGCAATCTCTGAAGAAGATCTTGCATATCTTTAGAACCTTCCTGAAGCAGAGAAGATGGAACTCTTCTCATAAGCCACTTTCTACACTTATCAGACTACTTCTATATTTTCCCTACCTACTGTTGATCAGGATGACATTTTAGTTATGTGTAATCCTTCCAAGGAAAGGGATACCTGAAAGAGAAAATGTGAGGTGGCTAAACTAGAGAGATCTAAGCTTCAATAGGAAATGTTGGCTCTTAAGTAAAAGGTGAGTCAGGCGAAGTCTCTTTAGGTGGAAGCAAAAGTTCATGGATTCCCTTCTTCTCTTGCTGCCAGGATTACTAAGCTTGAATCTTCATGAGAAGCAGAGAAAAAGTCTTGAAAGAAAGTCACTGGTACTACTTGGCGATGAAATCTCGCATTGACAAAGTTGTGAAGGCTCTTCAATAGGAGAAGGAGTCTCGAGTAAAGGAGCAAGAATCTATGAGAGATATGTGGCTGAATTGAATAATGAGATTGATAAGGCTCTTGACCAAACTCTGAAAAGGTGTATAGGCCTTTCAACCAATCTTTCGATCTACTAGAAACGCTTCGTCCAGATATTCATGTTCCTCATTCGTAACTTGACTTGCATAAAGTCGATCGGGATGGAGCCTTGTGAATAACGATGACGTTGCGCCTCAAGATGGAGAGGCCTGACTTTTTTTATGTTTAATGTATACATGGTGTTATGCTCTTATGTTTTCATATTACATGTATGAATAACAATATTTATTTATTTACCTTTCTTTGCTTGGTGTTTTCTTTATGCTTGTCGTAATTTATTTAGTTCACGGTCTTTATGTTGTACTATCTAGGTCATTCTTGGCTCAGTTCTTAGCTTCAAATAAGCTTGTGATTTCTGCCTTTGTTATGATCGAATTTTATTGTCCCATTAAGTGGGGGCTTGTATCGTTTGTAATGCCTTATCTGGGCCCCTTCTTGAGTGGGAAAATCAAGGTCTTTGAAGCTCGTTGTCACCTGTTCCTTTGGTGAGAATCGTTGTAACCATTAAACTTTGTTATCTCTTGTTCTAATCGATGAGAATAGTAGTAACTAACAAGCTTTCTCGTTACCCGTCCTATTCGAGGGGAGTTGGTGCAAGTCTTTAGTGTCACTAGGAACCACCCCGACCAAAGGTGGGGATCATGTCCCTTCCCCCAAGTTTTATCCTGACTCGGTGTGGATGTCTCATACACTTTACCACTTAAGCTCTTTAAATGGCTAGTTCTTAAGAGAGGGTATGTCAGTTGTGCTTTAATTGTGTTCTGCCTAGTGAGATCCTGTTTCACAAATACAGTATATGCCATATTGCCAATAATTATAATATTATTTGTGTGTAGATCATTTCTTTAAACAACAAATTTATTTATTTAATTTTTTAGGAGAATTGAGAAATACTTATCTTGCGCGCGAAGGGGATTGCCATGTGTGTAACACCCTTTTTTTTTAATTGAGTTTTGGAGTGTTTTTTAGTTATCTAACTATATTAATTATTTTTAGGGTTAAATAAGTCTAGCTTAAATACACTTTTAGTCCCCCTATTTACAAATCTTTAACGTTTTAGTCCCCCTTTTAATTTGTTTAACTTTTTAGTCCCTCAAGTTGTCACATTTTGAGATTTTTTTAGTCCCCCTCCTGTTTTGATTATGTGGCGCTCAAAATGGTGATTGGGCATGGTAACTCAGATGCCATGTCATTTATAAATTTTAATAAAACATTAATATTTTAAAAAATAAAAATTAATGTTAGACAATCTACATAATGAAGAACCCTAATTTTATCATGTTTATCCCTTTATTCATCTCCATAAATTTTGCTACTACTCCTTCTCCTCCATGTCTTGTACTTCATCTTATCCATATCTTCTACCTCGTCTTACTCATGTCTAGTTTTTCCTAAGCAAGTAGCCGCCTAAAATCCCATTCGAACTTCAAATCGAACCATGGTGAATGTCTGAGTGGCCTAGAAGCACCACTTTTGACATCATGGACTGATTCTAACCCAGGACAACGCTTTTATGGCTGTGGGAGGTATAAGGTATTATTTGTCTATGATTTATCACTTCTACTTTCTCCAATCATGAAAGTGTCTTACGTTTTTTTCCTCATATGTTGTCTGTAGCTTGTGGGACAAAAGAGGTGTGACCATTTTATTTGGTATGACGAAGAGATGGCCCAAGAGCAAA